ATTACTGGAAGGAAATATTACAATATATTCAGGAAATATGTGGGATTACTGTACAGAGAGACCCATGGACATGTTTATTTTATAATTTTGAACCTTTAGTAAAAATACATAAGAACAGGTTACTATATCATCTAATCAGTGTGGCTAATGGCTTGATTCCCAAATTCTGGTTAGCCCCAGACCCACCAAGAATAAATGACTGGGTTAATAGAGTAAAAAATATCTACAGGATGTTGGAGTTGTGTCACATTGAGGAGGATAGAATAGAACAATTTTGGAAAATGTGGAACAGCTGGTTAATTTTCAAAACATCTAAAAGATATGTGGAACTGGCTGGAATATAGGTGGAAGAGTATTCGAGGGAGTTCTAATGGAGTACCCAACAGAGAGAAGGAGATAGGATGGAAGGGATACAGATATGATAATCACGAGAAAGGATAGAAACTAGGAATTTGGATATGGACTGGGATAATTGGAGGGGGAGAGGGTGCGAGGAAGGGTGGGGCAGGGGATAAGATGATGCAAATAGCATTTATGTATTGGTGAAGTTCTTTTTATTTCTATGTGCATTAGATGCACTTTTTGTATTGTAAAAATGTAATAAAAGATAAAACAAAAAAAAAAGAATCAGCTAAAAAATGATTTCCCCTTTAATATTAGCTCTACATCTATATCCTACCTAGGCATAAACTGTACCAACAGAGGCCTCTATATTCCCTTCATCTTGCTCCTTCATAGAGGCTAGACAGATCTAGACTCCTACAGGTCAAAACACCTACCATGGCTCGGCAGAATAAGCATTTTTAAAATGCATATTATTCCACACTTTCTCTGCCTCTTCCAAACAATCCCTATCCATTTACCCTCATCATATTTCCAGAAACTCCACCACCTATTCTCCAAATTTTTCTGGAACACAGCTCACCTTGACTTCTCCCCGTACAATCTGTCAGAGGGAGGGGGGCAGCGGGCAGCTGCTGCGGCTATGGAAACCAAAGATGAACTTATTCTTTAAGTTTAGAGTCTGCTCTGTAAACAGTATCTCGCTGTGTTACCTTTCGCTCAACTCTCCGCAAATTACGTTCTACGTCACCAGCTCCACCCCTGCCACATGCTGCAGTCTTTAATAACAGTGCCTCCTGTGGTGGCTTAATGGAATGAGAAATGATTTACATCTGTGGTGCACCAGCACTTGTGTTTTGTCTGCATTTTTACAATACATTGGTGGTTTTAATGCAGGAAAAAAACTATGATGTTTTAAATAATTATCTGTGGAATTATGGATGTATAGATATGATTCATCTGATGCGTGAGAGAAGCCCAATTGTTTGGAATACCAAGGTAATTTTCCCTTAAAGGGACAGCCGCCATTTGACCAAACTATAGAAGGTAAATAATCAAAATGAGCTGCTAGTGCTGGTGAAGTGTGACCATGAGATGGTTCTTGTTAAAGAAGATGCACGTGGAACACAGGTTTGAAGATTAAGGATTATATCTGTTGCAGCATGGAACTTTAATTATGATTCACATTTATGTACGGTAGTGTAATTTATATTACTCACTGTTACTTTACACTAGTTTTGGACATTTATGCAGCGCTGAATCATAGTTACATAGTTAGTCTGGCTGAAAAAAAAACAAAAGTCCATCCAGTTCAACCATAGAAAAAAAAAAAGTTATAATCCTATACCCGCAGTTGATTCAGAGGAAGGCAAAAAAAAAAACCAACAAAGCATGATCCAATTTGCTCCTGCTGGGAAAAAAATTCCTTCCTGATCCCACGAGAGGCAATCAGATATTCCCTGTATCAACTTTACCTATAAATGTTAGTATCCAGTTATATTCTGTGTATCTAAGAAACAATCCAGGCCTTTTTTGAAGCAATCCACTGAGCTGGCCAGAACCAACTCTTGAGGGAGTCTATTCCACATGGAGATTCAATTTATTTTCCTCCAGACGTAAAGAGTGCCCCTTGTCCTCTGTAATGACCTCAGGGTGAATAGCTCTACACTGAGTTTACTATATGAACCACTGATGTATTTATACATGTTGATCATATCCCCCCTTAATCTCCTCTTCTCAAGAGAGAATAATTTCAATTCCTCTAATCTTTCCTCATAGCTGAGCTGCTCCATGCCTCTAATCAGATTGGTTGCCCTTCTCTGTACTTTCTCCAGTTCCCCAATGTTCTTTTTGTGAATTGGTGCCCAAAACTGAACTGCATATTGCAGATAAGGTCTTACTAATGATAAGTACCGGGGTAATATGATATATCTCCCTCTGAAGTCTATACCTCTTTTAATACAAGAGAGGATTTTGCTCGCTTTAGAAACTGCAGCTTGGCATTGCATGCCATTATTAAGCTTGTGGTCTACCAAAACTCCCAGATCCTTCTCTTCCATTGATTCCCCCAGTTTTACTCCCCCTAGTACGTATGATGCATGCATATTCTTAGCCCCCAAGTGCATAACCTTATATTTATCAACATTAAACCTCATTTGCCACATAGTTTCCCAATTAAACAGTGCATTGAGGTCGGCTTGTAAGTTGAACACATCCTGTAAGGACGTTATTCCACTGCACAGCTTGGTGTCATCTGCAAAGACTGAAATGGGATCTTTAATCTCAGACCCTATATCGTTCATAAATGTATTAAAAAGTAAGGGTCCCAACACTGGACCTTGGGGTACACCACTGACGACCCTAGACCAATCAGAGTATGAATCATTAACCACTACTCTCTGAATACAATCTTTCAGCCAGTTTTCTATCCATTTACATACAGATTTTTCCAAGCCCGTAGACTTTACCTTACACATTAGCCGTGTGTGTGGAACTATTTCAAACGCTTTTGCAAAATCCAAGTATACCACATCCACCACTACTCCTCTGTTCAAGGTATTGCTCATCCCCTCATAAAAAGAAATCAGATTTGTTTGACAACGTCTGTCTTTCATGAATCAATGCTGCCTGTTGCTTAAAATATTTTTTCCAGCAAGAACTCATCTATGTGGTCTTTTATTAAACTCTCTAATATCTTCCCAACTATAGAAGTTATGTAAAGTGAGGTGCGTGGACTGCTTATAGATTCGGGCAGCAGCATACTGAATTACATATTTGTTTGGTTGTGTATATAAGATATCACAAAGGTTGCACAGGGGTATTTTTATTTATTAGCCATGATGGAATGACCCAAACTACCCTCTTTCCTTTCTCACATGCCCTTTTCTCCCTTTTTTTCTCTTTCCTAAAAAGATTTCTATTTAGTACCAAAGTTTTTGGTTTGGCTATACACCATACAGGTTCTATTATGCCATCATTAACGCAGACAATCCTCCAAATTGCATTGTGTTACCCTTTACTACATTCCCTGAAAGAGATACAGCCCCACTTATTTAGTTGGGCTGCAGCCTCTAGGCTGATGCTCTCAGATAGTAATGCTCATTATCTGATATCTCTTGACTGCCATTACCTGAATCTGTACCTGTTTATCAATGCTAATTCATCATTTTATACACTGTAAAAGGAACCCTTTGTACCTGTACTTCCTATTTGAAACAATTTTAATAAAATTGAACTAAAAGTATGCAGGTGGAACTGGTCTATTTAGACCTCTGATATCTAGGGTCTGGTGTTCTCTTTGCTATTGTGGTGTTATGTCAAGATTAAGAGAGCTCTCTAAAATACTCAGAAAGAAGGCTCTGGATGCCTTTGAGTCTGGCAAGGGATTTACAAAGATCACAAAATTAGTCCAGGACTGGCTGGCCCAGCAAAATTGGGCTCACGAGATGACTACAGCCAATTCTGATGCTAAAAGATGTTTCCAAGAACCTAAAATTTTCAGAATGTGATCTGTAGGTAACACCTGCAACAGTTAGTGTCAAAGTTGATGCATCTGCAATCATAAAGAGACTACACAAATCCACAGGTAAAAAGGGGGTTATGTGCATCTTCTCAATCACTCAACTGACTCATTCAGCTTTGTTTATGTATAAACTGAGATTCAAAACTCCTGTAGTACCAGGCTTACACATGTCATCTGTTTGTATGTATAACTGTTGGCATGTGCTTTTTTTTTTCTCTGGAAGAAAAGAAACTATAGAAAAAAACAAAGTGCATTATATATACAGGGGTTGGATGAAAATAAGGAAACACTGCAAGATTTGCAGGTGTGAAAGTGAGGACATGTTTTGCGTTAATAGAAGAAGTGATGTAACATTCTTTTGTTCCCGCTGTGTGATGAGACACCTAGCTAACAGGTGGGAAGCCTCACTTTCATCGTTCACTGTGTGCGTTGCTAGTAATAGAGTCATGTCAGAGCTTACTGAGGTTCAAAGTGGGCAAAATGTTGGTACCCACTTAGTTGGTGCCTCTGTGACTGAAGTTACCAATTTATTTGCTGTGTCATGAGGTACAGTATCAAAGGTTATAGCAGCATATACAGTTTCTGGGAAAATGTCATCTGATAAGCATAAGCGTGGTTGACATGGTCAAGTGACTGAAAGAGACAAAAGGACATTGAGCAGGATTGTGACCTGGAATAAGAAAACAATTGCTGCAAATGTGACTGCAGAGCTCAAGCGCATGTCCACAAAAACTGTGCAGAAGGAACTCCATAAGCAAAACATTCACGAGCGAGATGCAATTGCCAAACCACTAGTGACCGATATTACTGCTCAGAAGAGGAAAGAGTGGTACAACAACCATAAATCGTGGACTATCAATCAATGGAAGACTGCAATATGGTCTGATGAATCGAGCTTTGTCTTGGATGCCAAAGGAGGTCTCACACCATATTAGGTAAGGATTTCATTCTTTTACCTGGTTTTTCCATAATTTTGTCCAACCCCTGTATATATATATATATATATGTGTGTGTGTGTGTGTGTGTGTGTGTGTGTGTGTGTGTGTATGTATTGTCAGAAATCAGAGAGCAACATTTCTGGTATTTAGCATTTTCCATGTACAGTTTGTATGGGTCATTGAATGTGTTTACTGACCTTCTGGGTCATCTCTTATTAACAAGAGGCCATTCCTGCACACAGTCTTCCCTGTGCATGCTTCAATAAAAATCAGTGAGGGAATGTTGGAAATTCTGAACTTGTTCCATAGTTTTAGCTGGAAAAGATGGACAAGATAAAAGCTCTAAGTATATATTTTAGACACAGATGATTTGAAGTTTAAGCAGTAGTTATAAAAAACACCTAAAAAGTAAGCATTAAAATAGTTTCCAAGGCTGTTACTTTCTCCTTAAAGGGATGCTAGCAAACAAACCAATTACCTTCACCAACATATATTGCCTGTACAAAAAACCAGCAGGGTAGTTGTTCAATGAATGGACTTGGGTACAATTAACCTGTCCACAGATGGTTGGAATCTTGCTGATCCCTGCTGAACTGGTTGAAATTCGAACCCTCTATGGCCAGCTTAAGTCTTTGAGCAGTCTCCCAGATAAGCAAGCTGGAGACAGCCCACAAACAAGAGACAGGCTACTTTGATCCTTCTCAGGCAAACTCCTGCACAACTACTGGACAACTTCGTAAAACTACCAGAAACCACTTCCTACTTACCAAAAAACTTTTTTTATGAGCATGTCAATAAAAACAGGAGACTGCTAGTGTGGTTTCTCCAGACCAAACAGGGTACCCTGACTGTCCACACCACTTGTAAACACTGCTGGAAAGGCTCATAAAACAGCTAATATAACAAAACAATTTAGTCTTACTGGAGAGGCTTCTCCTCCTGAGCCTCCTTATTTGCAAGACAATGGTATAGGCAGCCCCACTTACCAGGCTGAAGGGAGAGAAGACAGATTCTGCTGCCTGTACTTTTGGATGTACTATAACTTTCACATGCTAGGTGGACTCTAGCTTTGGCTAGGCGGACCATGTGGGAACCTTAGTCCCTGTCAGGAGCCTTGTGCCCCGTGGGATCAGGGTAGAGGTCCTACCCCTTCGGGGGCTGGACAAAGCACACCCCTAAGTGCACTTTTTTTGTTGTTGGTTTTGCACTAGCGCGTTTTTCGTTCACTTACGGGTTTTTTTCGTTTTTCGCACTTCCACAGACTTAAAAAAAAAAAAAAAACTTTTACATGTACATTTTTTCATGATATGCTCAGCTTGAATTGACCAGGTTTGTAACATGTTTACGTTAATGTGTCCAAGCCCACAAAATGATAAACTGAAATCTAAAATGAGTGCATGTTATCTGCTTGATCTGGATAATTTTAAATAGTAGCATAGATATCCAAATTTCTTCCAGTGCAGATGTTAATGTCAAATAAACCAGTGCCAAGGTTAATGAGCTAAGTATATCCCAGGTGGCAAAGAAGCAGCTGATGGCTAGTCAGGGGTGACCTCTACAAAGTGTTGATTACTATCTGGCATGCTTATTAAACCAAAGTTAACAAAAGGTTATTGTATTTCCAGTAGAAATATTGGGAAAATAAAATAATTACAGTTTAAACAACAAAGTCCTGCTTCACAAATGCAGGATATTTAGAGCTTGCACTGTGCACATTGTCTAAGTTGCTGTTTCTAGTCTGTCTTGACCCAAGCTTAAAATAATAATATGGAAATGTAGAACACAACAGCTATTATCTATGTTTAATGCACAAAAGAGGATCCACACACCCAAGAAGCAAAGGGGAATTGTTCAGAGGAGCTGTCACTTGTCAAAGTTGAGACTTTAGTTTAGACTGATGTTTCAGTGTTGGGTCTGTGACAGCAGGCTAAATAGCCAAGCAGATTCTTGTCCTCACAGAAGGTCAGAGTACAAGTTTTCCACACCTATATTTCCATAACCCTCACCTTGGACTCACCTTTTATTTTTTGAGGGGGGGGGGCTTCTTTCTTCTAATTCTCACAACCAGGCAACTCTAGTGATAACATCCATTTGCCGACCGCGTATTGAAGATATATTGCTACAGTGGGGGTCAGCTACGCAGAGACAGACACACATATATACACACACACAAGATTCTGCATTTATGGGTAGGGGGCAGGCACCCGCCCACCCGGCTGCAGAACGCATTGCTTATGGAGTGTTACTCCCATTGTTGGTTCTATTGCCCTGCAGTCCCCATATATGATTAATGACACTTGGCACTCAGTCTTGCAGACTATGATATGCATGTGGTTTCCATATGCAGATCCTTTTTGCTGCTTTTAGGATTTTTTTTTGTCTATTTTTTTTCTTTTTCATTTATCTGTATGTGCCTTTAATCACTTTTTGGGAAGTTTAACCATCAGTGTTTGAATCATAATGGAAGGTTACTTGATGCTTGCTATCATAATGTGTATTTCTGGTAGCGTATGACCTTTCATGCAATGTAATTTACACAATGTAATGTATCCAGGTATGTGTGCTTATCTTTTTTGTTGCTTTATGTTTTGTACCTGTATTGTAAACTTCAATAAAAGTCTAATTACAAAAAAAAATACTTAAAGCCAGTGATGCGAGATGTAGCTTGCCATTATGTGCCTCATTATGTACTAACACACATTAATGCAATGAGCATAATTCCTATCCAACTCATATGGTGACAGTGTCTAAAAGGTGAAGATCAAAATAGCGATATACCTAAGTGCAGTTTAAAAAAATATTTGGCTAGGCTAATGTCATTCAAGTACTTTAAACACCTGCCTACTAAGACAATTTTGAAATTTTTCACATACATGTTAAAATCTGTATTTTTTGCTAGAAAATTATTAGAACCCCCATACCTTTTATGTTTTCTGAAAGTAAAGGCCCTGGAGAATAAATTGGCAGCTGTTGCAATTCTTTATGTCACACAATACTAGCAAAGCTGTTTATCAAACACAAATTTTCAGGAGAAAAAATGATATTTAAATCAATTTTAGTGCACACAAACACAAAAAAAATACCTATATTTTGGTAACACATAAGAGGTGATGTTGAGTAAATAGATACCACACAGATTGAAATTTAAAATTGCACATGGCTGTGAAATGGTTGCAAATTGCAGTACCTACAATTGTTCATTCAGGTAATGCTTTAACAGTCTTTTTAGGTTACCAGTTCGTTAAACGTGAGCTGTGGAGCTAGAATTATTGCTCTCACTCCAACCTATGTAAAAGCTACTTTGTTCATACATACACCAAGAGGCATTGTTCAACGCCTAGCAATACAGGTGATAAGGAAGTACAGTACGCTCAAATAATATCAGTGTTAAGTCCACCTAAACAGTCTATGCATATGCATGGTCCAATAATCTAATGAAAAATGTATAAAAAAAAAGATCTTCAATAAGTAGAGGGTGCATACTGTCACCAACAGGATAAAATGTTCACCCTCGCCAAAACATATTACGCTAAACCATAAGAGGTTACAGAGTCATCTTTTACTGTCATAATTTGCTTGGATTTAGGATCTCCATACCACCCAGCTTCTTCTCCCACTTTAGATGTCACTAAAAAAAGATTGCAAGGTATCCAGGAGCCAGCAGCACAAAGAACACATTGGATTTTGCTTTTCTTTTTTATTTTGTATAAAATGAAGCCAGGAGTAGGCAGCCTTAAAGAGGTGGAGATCTACCTGAACACGGGAGAAGTCAAAGATCACAGGGCACAGTGTCGCCTCCTCACACCTTATTTGCACTTCTAATTGCCATAATACCGTATCACAACTGCATGCATTGCATGGCAATCATGGGCTTAAATCAGGTGGCGAGCTGCAGGTACATTGCACTGCACCCATGGTGTGGGTAAACCGCAGCACATCAGTATGAAAGCTGCCCTATGCTTGCCCAGTGTATTTCTTCACACTGACCTGCAGATCTCTTCTTTCTTGCTGCTGGCACCACACTTGAGACCACTAGCCAGGATAAGAGGTGGAGTACAGTTGGCATAACTCAGCATGGGACAGGAGGCATCAGCTTATGTGGCTCTTGCTCCCTACTACAGCTCCAACTTTACATGTAGTCCCTCTGCATTTCACTCTGTTTGATGCTCTGGGATGGCGGGTCAACAAGCCCAGCCTATGTTCTACCAGTCACCTGGTCGTGATCTACTGGTTACATGAATATGGATTTAGGTATGCAAAAAGGTAATTTCTTGCCAGCAATCTGTCAGAGGGAGGTGGGAGTAGAGGTAATATTTTCCAGGAGATGAGATTTTAATAGAATTCAAAATTAAGGAATATTTCATCATATGAGGGGGACACAGGCTGGCCTATGAAAGGGTGAAAGGGGTAGTGTTTGTCATATGCTTAGTCTGAATTGTCCAAATTTCTGACAGGTTATCTTCTCTATAATATTACTTTAAAATAAGTTAAAATATTAACTTGTATAAACATGTAGAAATGGCAAAGACTGCTTTAAGCCAGGCATAGATGGTTTGAATCTTGGCTAGTTCAGAAGGGACTAACCGAGATTTGATACAGGCGCATCTATCGACTTGGGTACAACGCATGTTGAATATTTAAGATGCAATTATTGCCAGCCGCTATAGCCACTAACAATAACCATTGTGTTCTCCTGTAATGGATGGCCCCCCGCCGGGAGAACCCAAAGGCTCCGCAGGAGGGATTCCCCCATCAGTACTGACTTGTGGTTGCAGGAAAAAAAATTGCATCATATATGGCCTGAATTAGTTTAACAACCTGAATCCAATAGATGTAAGTGTGGAGACAACCTACAATTTCATAGAAACTTTTAATTATGACATTACTCAGTGGTAAGCTATTACGAAACTACAATATGGCTTTTCTTATTGAAGTAACGCGATTCTTAATTCTGTGTGAGATAATTGTTTAAATATGCTATTCAGCAGACACTGTATAAAATATGAGAGGAAGAATCAAAGAATATTCAGCTCCTTACAGGGTAATAAGGAAATGTCATACATTTTAGAAAAATCACATTACTTTCCTGCACAGGGCTTCTGCTTTCAGCCTGAAAGAATGCGTATGATAGCCTTCTTTTCACAGACTATTGTGTCATACACTGAAACAAACTGCTACTCAGCAGCTGTTTCAAATCTGCTTCATCAGCCAAAGCTAACACAGATGTAGAATCTATTAGACAATCTTCAAGCTGGGCTTTGCGCTGCCCTCAGAGACATAAAAAGTACAATTTGCCTGGCAGATTAACCATCAAAGTG